TCGTCACATTAATTATTTTATTTTATATAATTTATTTTAATTCCCGACCTTCCGGGTGCTTCACAACAACCCATGGTCACAAGGGGGGGGGGGGGGGGGCTGAGATGTTTGACATCTCGATGTCATAGTTAGCCCAACTACTAAAGTTTTTGAATACTTATTTTTCGTTCGATCTACGCAGAATGAGCTTACAGTATTGGGTTAGGATTTAATTTTGTTAATTATAGGATCCCAAGTAGATGGCAGCACCCATCAATCTTCTCTATTGAAATTAGGATTTCTTTTTTAATTTCAATAGCCTCGCCTATCATCCTTGGTCGGAATCGGTGTTTAAGGATTTGTATTCTATCAAATGTAATGCAATGGTGGAGACGGTTTACAACGTGGTAGAGCAATGCTGCAGCTATGTTATGGTTGTAGCATGAATGGGTCGGCTCGGCCGGGGAAAGGCCACACTCTCGCAGAATACCAGCGTCAAATAGCAGCTTAACGCTGCTGTGTTTCGTATGGTGAGTGTAGAGAACCAGAGACCCTTTTTACTGGAATCGAGGCATTCTATCTTAGTCCTCACGGGTGACAACGCATCTGCATTTTGATTCGTAATCGAAGATAGATGTAGATGTCCATGGGCCACAGCAACCACTTACCATCAGGTGGGCTGTGTGCTCGTTTGTCGCCCTTATCCTATAAAAAAAAAGACGATATGTTCACAGACTGCAGACTTCTCAGAGCGTCGGTGTCTTACGTCGGCTATATGTTATTTCACGCGTGTATTAATAAATCTTTTTGTTTGTCCTATGTAAGAGAGACCAGATTAGCAATCAAGCTTGAACACTCCTGCATCTTGAAGAGGGATGCATTTGACGGATGGTAAAAATTGACTGATCTTCTTCGGCAGCTTGTAGTAAGTTTTAATCAAGCTCGCTTCAAGGTTGGTTACCTTGTCTGTGACTCCTCTGACATAGGGTAGTACAGCAGGCACACGCTTGACTGTGGTCGACTTCACTCAGTCACTGTGACGTAGGCGCGGTACCCGAAGCTTGTTGTCTTGCAATACTTGCTCGACGTGCTGAAACTCGGCGGCCAGGTGTATTTTGTAACAGATCCCTCGTGCTTTGAAATATTTTCCCACGGTAGTTAACTGTGATGGATGATGGTGAGATTCACCATTTAAATACCGATTGGTATGGGTCTTTTTCCTATACACATTTATCTAATTTATAAGTTATATATGATATATCTAAGTTTAACTAACCGCAATAGGCTGCACCTAGTAGTAACCGGCTAAACCTAGGTGTATCCGCACCTCGGCTTTTAACCTTACCTTTAAAATGTTTAACCGAAATAATATATTAAATAGTAAGTTTTCTCAAAGGACATCACCTACGTAAGATCATTCCTGTGAGCTGCGACAAGAAAGATAAAAATAATTACACGCTAAAGCTAATTTGCTAAATCACATTCACGGTTTTAAAAGATGAAGACATTTTATTTTTCTAGAATAAAGGTTTCAAACGAGCACACCGTCCACCTGACGGTAAGTTGATGCTGTGGCCCATAGACATAGAATAAAAATGCAGACCCTTGAGGACTGAGATGAAATGCCTCAGATAAAACTATTCTAATTCGAACTCGGCTAAACACACACACGCAAATGCAAAATATATTCAGTGATTCCTTGTTTTTCAACAGCCACAGCCAATTGATGGACATACGCCTCTTTCGCTGCAGGGACTTCTTGCCACAATCGCCACGCTTGGCAGGTTGCTGCAAACGCCTTTTCTGACACACACGGGACAGAATTATATTATAAATTTGTATTAATATTAAATTATGCACACAAATAAAATTGAAGTTTAAAATTGAATTGGCTTCTGTTAAACTTACCTAACCGTGACTTACTTAACCGTGGGCAAAAAATAGTAGGACTTTTTAATTTAAATTTCGCGCGGAAATCCATTCGCCGAAAAATTTTTTTCTACGTTGGTATGACATGACTGTCAGTGACATCTGTGCCAAATATCGCATCAAAGTAATCATTGGTGTTTAGTATACGCTTCTCTTTCTGAAGTACAAAAAGTGCATTCGGTGATTTTTATAATGAGTGAAATTATTCAACAAAAAAGTTCCAATAAATTTTGTGTGCGGAATCAAATTTCTGATGCCGAAACGTTTAGAATATTACAAAAGGCCTTCGGTGATAATTTTTTTAAATAAAGTCCTCAATGCATCACTAATATCATATATTTTCTTAATTGTACAAAATATCACTAAATCTAAACAATGTTATAGATATCCACAATAACAACAATGTACATTAGACATACAGAATAACAAAATAAGTATAACAATTCCTATCAATACTCACAATTTATCTTCCGTGTACGTATTCTCTACTCAACACTTCTTGCAAAAGACTCCCTCACAAACCGCCGACATCTGTATTTTATAGGCATGTAATTTGAAAATATTTTTAACCATTGTTAAACTACAGATGGCGCTGCTCGTTTGGGTTCCGTTACAAGTTTCCAATAAAATAGGATATTATTACGTGTGGTTTTACATTATAAAACATGATTTATATTTATTTTAATTATCTTAACAATGTTACATCACAGTTATAAATATGAGCGAAAATAAATAGCTCAACTAAATCTAAAATATTAATGTACCCGCTATTGTAAGAAACTACTTATTGTAAGAAAATAATTAACTACCAACAATGCTAGTTATAACAAAACATATTATTAAAATATGCTAACAGATTCGGCCATCTGACAGATTGTGTGTCCTCGCACAACTAGACAACAATTTTGAACACTCCTCTAAGTATTCCACAGGCTCTTTTCACCCTGATTACAAAATTATAATATAGTGCAGGCCCCTCTTGTCCTGAACACCATTAGAACATTTATAACTTTAGTGCAGGCCTCTCTTGTCCTGAACATCATTACAACACTTATAACTTTAGTGCAGGCCCCTCTTGTCCTGAACACCATTACAACATTTATAACGTTAGTGCAGGCCCCTCTTGTCCTGAACACCATTACAACATTTGTAACTTTAGTGCAGTCCCCTCTTGTCCTGAACATCATTACAACATTTGTAACTTTAGTGCAGGCCCCTCTTGTCCTGAACACCATTAGAACATTTATAAATTTAGTGCAGGCCCCTCTTGTCCTGAACACAAAACTAAACACAACACTGAAAAGAAAATCAACTTGATGTCTAGAACACACTTATAAAACAATTTAGCCCTTTAAGATTTATGATGCAATTTCAGATTCAGATTCAGATTCACTTTTTCAGTCACTTAACATCGTACCATGTGGTCTCTGAAAATTTAGCCAAAGTTTTATTTTGTCAACAGCTACCACAGAAGAATAATGTTTATTATTTCTTTGAGTTAATGGGGTGTCTTCGACTTGGTAGCGGTTATGATCAAAACCTTAACGAGAATCGTTAAGGAGCTTGAAACTTAGGTATAAGTTTTTTGCTATTACCGGCAGCTGAAATTTGTGTCTATTCTTATAAGATCACCAACTTTTTATTTAATGGGTTTACAACGAGATTTATGGTAGAGATACTTTTGTGCTAATTGGTAAAAACTAATATGGGAGCTTATTTCTTTTCGAATAGTGTCAACATTACGGCGATTACACTCTAAATTATCAATGTCTTCAAGGGCTGTTATTATTTTAATATCGCTTGAACTTCTAAGATTACAACGAAAGAGTGCTTCAGATGATGTAGTGTTAATATTTTTATTAAAAGTATTATTCATACCCCATTGTATATCTGGAAGGTGGGAGTGCCATTTGTTATCTGATATGCCGATACATTTTGCTGTCAAAGAGTCAATTATAATTTTGTTATAACGTTCTACCTGTCCGTTGGATCTCTGAGTAGACACAGCATTAAGAATGTGCTTTATACCCTTTTCATGAACAAATGCTTTAAAGGTATTACTGGTAAAAGCAGTCCCACGGTAGGAAATAATACGTCTTGGAGCACTAAATATACTAATATACTCGCAAATAACTTCAATGGTTCGACTAGATATGGTATTTTTAACCGGTTTTAAGTATATATATCGAGTAAATGCATCTATTAGAACTAAAATATGCGTAAAAACTGTACTACTTCTTACGAACGGTCCAACATGATCAACGTGACTTGTATGAAAGAGAACCTCTATTTTTTTAATTGGGTGTAAAAACCCGAGCTTTTTACCCCCAGACGATTTAGAATATGTACACTCAAGGAAAGAGGTTACATACTTCTTTACAAAGTTACGCATTTTCGGGAACCAGTAGTGTGATTTTATCCGAGCTAGAGTTTTATTCAGACCAAAGTGACCAATGTAGTCATGATTTTGACTTTACAATTTGCTCTCTCTCGCCTTTAACTAACGCCTTTAGGCACAACCCACTTGTCACTCTGCAGTTTTTCTAAATAACTTGCCATTTTTCAATTTGTAATTCTTTTAATATCAAATCAAGTTTAAATTTGGACTATTTAAAATACCAATTATTCGCTGTATGTCGCTATTAGAGTTTTGTACAGTAGCAAGCCAGTCAATCTCCTTAACATGAAAAATATCCTTAAACTTAAGATCTTCGTTAGGCAATGCTGGATTACGGCTAAGTGGGCTTCCACATGGGCCATTGATGTTACAGGCCTGTATTCAATAGAAAAATCGAACTCTTGCATTTGAATCCACCATTGAGCAACACGTGGAAGCATATCCCGTTTTAAAAATGTGGCTCGTAAAGAGTTACAGTCAGTAACAATTTTGAAACGAATTTCTACCAAATATATGCGAAATTTTTTTAGAGTACCTACCACAGCCAGTGTTTCTAGGTCGTAAGAGGAATGATTTTGCTCTTTTGGAGTAATTTGTTTGCTGTAATAAGTGACAGGTCGCAGTCCATTTTTATCGAATCTTTGCAGCAGAATACCTGCAACACCCGTTGTGAAGTTCTGTTTCAGTCGATGGATTATACAGAGCCAGAATAGGTCTTCACCAACGCCCCTTTCAAAGTGTTGAAAGCATTCTGCTGTTCTTGTCCCCATTCCCAGGTCGCCTTCTTCTTTAATAATTTTGTCAATGGTTTTGATATTACCGAAAAACCTTGTACGAATCTTTGGAAAAAGCTAGCTAATCCTAAGAATTGCTTAACATTGTGTCGATTAGTTGGTACCGGGAAAAGCTCTACTGCTTTAATTTTTCTTGCACCAGGGAATATGCCCTCACTGGAAACTTCGAACCCTAAATAATCAACGGAAAGGCTAAAAAACACGCATTTAGAGAGTTTAAGCGTAAGCCCCGCATTATCTAATAATTTAAGAACAGAATGCAGCTTTATGATCCCTTGATCGGTGGTCTGAGAAAGAATAATGATGTCGTCTATATATGCTAATGATATTTCCTCTTTTTCTTTTATCACCGATCTATACACGAGTCTGTAAACAACAAGCTTGTCGTCATCCAAATGAATGGACATCTAGGCTAGAGTGCAACTTCCTAATTCGGATAGTCCGAATGCGAAACACGAAATTTGTTAAGAAGAACTACCAAACGATCGACTTCAGATTGATTTAAACTATCACCAAGCTTTAGATCAGAAAGTTGTATAGACTTCGATGCAGGGCAAGTGTTGAATGACGACACTTGCATAACTATTTTGAGCTTCCTCCAGAGCGCTTCTAACACGCGCAATAAGTAAATGTTCTACTAAATTAATTGATTCTAGATCTAACGAGTTAACTACTATCTTACCGCAGCTCTCACTATCAAATTTGTAGACCCCAGTTAACACGCTATATTCGAAACAAGGTTTTCGTCTCATACCTCCCTCAACATACAAGATTCCGACAAACTTCGGCTTGGTATATACTTCAATAAGCGAAATACCACAAACGTTAACGTCATCGCGGACAATCAGCAGTTCAACATTGGCCTCAATATCATCTACTAAATGAAGAACGAAAACGAAGAGAGAACCCCGCACACTCTTTTAGTCATATTTTGCGCATGTATGAGATTCAGCATAGATTAAGGTAATACCAAGAAGAAATGTATTAATATACATTAACGTATACGTATTAATATAAGCAAAAAAAAATTTATGTTGTGTACATTAAATATCTGTAATAATTAATGTGCAATGTGAAAAGGAAACACAGCTTGTCGAGTATACAGGCTTGAAACTTCTACACTAGTATTTATAAGCATTAATGCATATTATACGTAAAAACACTTACACGAACATAATACACGCATGTCTAGATTTTCCAAATCTAGCTACAAGTACTTAGTAGATCTCAACAAAACTACACCAACGGAGTTTTAAGATTATCATCGTGGGTTTGATATAATATTTGCATAAATTACACCAACAACAAGGCCAACATTAACAATTAAATATTAATTCTATTCTAAACGTATTTATAAAGAGATGCGAGTTAATAAGTTAATCAGTACCTACTGCAATAACCCGAAGGTAACGGATGATAATATTTTAGCTTACCCTTCAGTCATTAATAGCAATACTAATAACGCCGGTAAGCAAGATAGCCTGAGTTTCGGGTAGTATAAATTTTTTTTTCTCGGCGAAAGGAGAAGCAAAAGAAGAAAAAATTGTTATATTTTGACCGCAATTTAAAGAGCCTACTTTTACATACATGAAAGTTCATATCCCACTTCTGATTTGTTAAATAAAGTCCTCAATGCATCACTAATATCATATATTTTCTTAATTGTACAAAATATCACTAAATCTAAACAATGTTATAGATATCCACAATAACAACAATGTACATTAGACATACAGAATAACAAAATAAGTATAACAATTCCTATCAATACTCACAATTTATCTTCCGTGTACGTATTCTCTACTCAACACTTCTTGCAAAAGACTCCCTCACAAACCGCCGACATCTGTATTTTATAGGCATGTAATTTGAAAATATTTTTAACCATTGTTAAACTACAGATGGCGCTGCTCGTTTGGGTTCCGTTACAAGTTTCCAATAAAATAGGATATTATTACGTGTGGTTTTACATTATAAAACATGATTTATATTTATTTTAATTATCTTAACAATGTTACATCACAGTTATAAATATGAGCGAAAATAAATAGCTCAACTAAATCTAAAATATTAATGTACCCGCTATTGTAAGAAACTACTTATTGTAAGAAAATAATTAACTACCAACAATGCTAGTTATAACAAAACATATTATTAAAATATGCTAACAATTTTATGTCGCGAGCAAGTGTTTTTGATTGGTACATATACAAATTATTCAAAGAAGGTAGAGAACGCGTTGACGACGAACCACGTCCAGGACGGCCCTCAACATCGGAATTGGTGCTCGAGAATCGACGATTAACAGTCAGAGACCTTACTGATAACGTTGGAATATCGAAAGGATCAGTGAAAACCATTGCAAATGATCATTTGGGTCTAAGAAAAATGAATGCACGATTGATTAGAAAATCACTCAATTATCTTGAAAAACAGCGTCGCGTTGACGTCTGTGAAACAATGCTTTCATGTGAAACCAGGATGTCATGAAACGTGTTATAACTGGCAAAGAGTCTTGGATCTACGCTTACGAACCGGAAACAGATGATCAATCGGTCGAGTATCGTGTAAAAGGTGAGCCGAAGCTGAAAAAACCACGTCAAAGCAAGTCAAAAATCAAGGTCGTTTTGACAGTTTTCGACGTGTGGTGCACTCCGAATTCCTTCCGACCGGCCAAACTGTCAATAAGGAATACTATTTGAGTGTCATGCGTCATTTGCGCGAAGCTATTCGTAAAAAGATGCCGGAATTATGGGCCGACAACTCTTTGTTTTTGCACTACGATAATGCACCGTCGCATACTGCATTGATTCTTCGTGAGTTTTTCACCAAAAATTCAACCAATATCGTTCCACAACCACCGTATTCAAATTATTTTGCTCCGTACGACTTCTGGCTGTTCAGCAAACTCAAGCGACTGCTCCGGGGAAACCGTTTTGAGTCAATTGAAGACATTAAACGTGAATCGCTACGCGCAATGAAAGGCTATTCCGGAAATTGACTTTAACAACTGTTACGAGGATTGAAAAAAAGGTTAGCATAAGTGTATTGCAGTCGGGGGGGGGGGGGGGTTTACTTTGAGGGGGATTAAATAGATTTGGCAGAATAAATAAAAAAATTTAAAATTATGAACAAAGTCTTAGTATTTTTTGCCCACAGTATTATATTTGCACGCTTAAGACATAATTCGCCATTTTTAAATTTTTGGAATGTTTGTCTGTCCGGTCTAATCTTAGGAATGGCTGAACCGATTGTAATGAAACTTTACTAACGAATAGACAGTAATGCCAGGAGAGTTCTAAGCCATATTTTATCCGAAAAACTTGAAACACTTGTTTGAAAAAAATAAAAATTTATAATATAAATGGTCTTTGATTACGCTAAGTCTCAATAACGCCCCGTTAATAGATCTCATTTATACCAAGCCGTGGAGAGTCGTCAATTCATTATAAAAATAATAATTAATTATTTTACTGTGTCACAACAGACAGAAGAACATAATATATTAATAAAAAGGAAATAAATATGTATTGTATAAAAGCGTTATACTATTTCAAATTGTAATGAACTAACAAGCGCGGAAAATACTTCAGCGGTTTCCTCCATAATGTTATTATTTGTTCATCCACCTTAAACTTCAATAAATAACTACATCGTCCGATATTTACCTTGGGCTAATGTTCCAAGGGAATCAGAGTCATATTTTGAGCTTAATTGCTTGCCGTCTGTCTGTGATTGTGTTGGTGCGAGGCGGTTTCAAATATTAGCATTTAATTTAATATTATTGAGCTTTTGAAATTGCATTCTGAAATTATAAAACGTTATTGATTTCAAGATTTTGGCGTCGTCTAATCGTCAAACAATGCCTTCTTGCGTGGTAAACGCATAGATCGTACATTGAGTTGACAAAATAAGTTGATTGTAAGTTGTAGACACAAGTATATGCATTATTTTATTTTCATTTTTAGTGCATTTTTTGTTTTAAAATGGTTTTTGAAGTCGGTTTTTATTTTTATTTTTTTTTACTTATGAGTTCTGCGATTTCGATTTATTTAAGCAAAATTAACTGTAATCGTATCTAAATTAATTAGATTTTTTTTATTTTGATTAATTATAATATAAAGCTACTGCTACAGCTAAATATTTTATAATCAATTCTTAAATATAATTATCATAAATAATATAATAAAATCAAGTAAAATAATAAAACCAAGTGACCACGAAACTGCACATCACTTGATATGTCGACACCGAGGATTCCGATACAGGCTGAGGTAACAAGGGGAGTGCCTTCAAACTGAGGCGATACGACAAAAGGGTTCTTTTTAAGCGGTAAGCGCGCAAACTTGTGTCTTCTAGGGATTGAGCTGGACTAGATTTAATTGTCCCCAGTCTGAAACTCTGTTAAATAAAGTCTTGACTTCAGACACAAGTTTTTTCCGGTACTCGGCGACGTCTTCCCGAGAAATATTGACACGGCTGGTATACAAAGCATCACCAGTACTGTCCTCCGTATAGCAATGAATATTACCGGTTTGCAACATATCATTGATATGCAGAAGAATCAGCGCTGGTCATAGCACGCAGCCTTGTGGAACACCAGCTTTAATGGGCTTGTAATCAGAGTATGCACCGTCTACTACGATGCTCTGATCTGCAAGAAAACTGGTGATCCAATAGAACAATTTCTGGAGAAGCCCATAGGAATGGAGCTTCGAAAGAAGCGCATCGTGCCAAACCCGATTGAAGGCCTTCGCTATGTGCAAACTAACGGCCAACGCCTCCCCCTTGGACTCCACTGCCTCTCCCATCTATGAGTTAGGTAAACAAGTAGATCACCTGCTGAGCGACCTCGACGGAAACTGTATTGGTGATCACTAATCAGCTGGTGATCCTTAAGGTGCCGCATGAGATGGCAGTCAATAATAGTTTTCATTACTTTGGAGAACAAGGAGGTGATAGCGATAAGCCTGTAGTTGGACGGGTCTGAGTGATCGTCTTTTTTATGGATCGCGTGCACCAAAGCTGTCTTCCATGAGTTCGGGACTACGCCTAAGGAGTAGGAGTACTGAAAAAGACGCGTTAAAACCGGTGCTAACTCCGGAGCACACGTCTTCAGCACAATAGGTGGGACTCCATCAGGTCCACTCGACTTGTTGACGTCTAGGGAGAAGAGTGCTTTGCGCACCGACTCTAAAAATAACAATAATTGTACATTATACTATCCTAATAATTTGATTTTCTTTTAAGTAATCTAAGCATATATTTAAAAAAAATTACTTAGGTGATAATTGTTTGTTATTCATAGGCATGTGTTGAGTTAGATGTGAAATTTAAGTGGGTAGCTACCTTCTTGGTGGCAAACGCATAGGTCGTACACTGAGTAGAAAAAATAAGTTGATTGTAA